CATTTGAATCAAGTTCAGGTTGATTTTACCTTGATTCCTGACTTTTTTTTCAGTTGTAGACGTGCTGCTGCGTTTGAACCGATGCCCTGTTGATGAGCCAGTTTGATCCAAGCATCAACTGTTAGGCAGGTACAGTAACAGCCGTTTAAAATGGCCTTTCCCAGCCGAATTGCAGCCCACTCCTCCAACTAACAGCGAAATCCCCTCCAACTTCCAGCCACTGGAGTGATCCCCTCGTGCATATTTTTTTTCTCTGACTCCATCCTTCTTTTTAGGTCTTAATTAGTGATGGTTTATGAAAACCGTCCGAACCGTTCGGTTCGACTGTCTCGGTTCGATTCGCGTGTGTTGCGTTCGGTTCATGCGCTGCTCCTTTTTCTCATAGGCGAAGCGATTACACTCCAGAGCAGAAGGTGGCGGTACTGCGACCAAAGCCAACCACCAGTAGTAACCAAGAGGAAGAAGAAGCGAAGAAGCGTAGCCGGGTGTAGCAGAAAAAAAATCAGTTGTTGTGGAGAATTGTGTGGGTATGGCGAGTGGGAAAGACCAGGAGTTGGAAGACGCGCCAGCAACACTTTATAGGTCTGCTGTATGGGACCACTTTGCATTTAGAGTGACCTACGATGACGGCGGGAAGAAAGTTGTGGATAAAAGTGCAACAGTGTGCGAGCATTGTGCAACAGGTTTTGTTTATGCTAACAGCAACACCACCAACATGTAAGGCTAACGATCAACCGAAAACCGTGACCACGAAACTGTGAACCGAACCGTGGATTTTGTGGATTTTTCTAGGAAAGTGGGGAAATTTTCAATGGCTACTACTGTATCATCCTTTTTGGCTCTGGACTAATTTCATGTTTATAGCAGGAGTTCATCTAGCCTCTTGAGACTATATTGATCTCGCGAGCTTTCAAGATTTCACTCGCAAATCAGTCTGGCTACTCTCCGTTAAAGAAAATTGAGCCGTTCACCAAACGAACGTCCAATCAGCGTTGGCTTTGAGGCTGGTTGAGGTGTGACGCAACGAGAAGCGCGACAGTTCAGTCTAAAGAACATGGCTGCTTCAGCCGATGAAACTAGCGTTAGCGTGGCTATCGAGCAAGTTTTATCGGAATTACAGAGTATTTCTTCACTGAAAGAAGAGCAAAACACTGCTCTGGAGGCTTTTCTCAGAGGAAAAGATGTTTTTGCTCTTCTCCCGACTGGTTTCGGCAAAAGTAGCCTGGCTTGTGGTTGTGTTTTTGCCATCGCTCTGTTAGTACGTCATATGCTTCGTTGATCTGATTGGTTTATTTGGCCCGTCTATCACCAACATAGGCCAATCAGCTAACCAGTATTTTCGCCCCTTCCCAAAATTACTTCAACGGAAGGTTTCCAGATGGATATGCGGAGCAAATCCATCTGGCGGAGTCAGGTTAGAGTTCATCAGCCTGAATCACTAGAAAGTATCCAGGCTGCAGAGAGGCTCTGTAATCAGTCCTCCACCACTGTGCTGTGCTGATATGCTGTGTGGTTTTCTCCAAATGCGGCGCTGTGCATAACAACTAATTGAATTAAAAAACTGAAGAACAAAATATTAGGACCAACCCATGATACATCAAAAGAAAACAAGGTAAAGTGATTAAATAAGAGTGTGCAAGAATATACTGGCCAAAAACAAACTTTACTGGTTTATTGCTCCATGTAGGCCTTTAAAGGTACACTATGCAACAGGTGTTGATTTTCCAGCGAGGCTCCGCCAAGAGGGCGAAAATAAAAGTGCACTGTCGTAAATATGCTCAGCTGTTCTCCTGGTTTCTCCGTCAAACCAGGCGCGGTTGTTTTGAGTTTAACAGACAGGGGAACGCAACGAATCACCATGTCTACTGCGGCAGAGAGCCCTTCTTCTCTTTCTTGCCTGCTCCGACATGGGCTTTCACTGTTTTCTCGCCATGATAACTGCACAAATATCGCCACTGCGCTAGCAATGAGCATGCCTTTCACTGGGGGCGTGTAGCAGTTCTCGCCGTAAAGCAAGACGAACTCTCATGATGCACGAGACTTCTGAGCTTGCGGGTGCGGGCCGAGGGCTCCTGTAATTGCAAGTACAGTATTTCCCCTACAGACCACCAGGGCGGCCGAGAAAACCTTTGTTCGACCTGAAATGTCACTTTTAATCATCCAAAACGTTATGGAACACACTAATTAACTGAAAAATGTTGCATAGTATGCCTTAAAGTACACTACTATAGCACGAATCCTCAAGTGATCCCAGCTCAGCCATGTAGAGATGCGCTCCAGGTGGAATAGAGTACCTGGAAGAAAGAAAAGTGCAACCGTATGTCTGTGTAAACTATTAGTCTTCTGGGTCATGGCAACCAAAACCGGACTTTGGCTCACTTTTTTTTTTGGACATTTCAACTGTCTGTGGAAGTGAGTTTGTACACTGGAAAAACAATCTAGAAATAAGTAAAAATTTCTTAAATTAAGTGTATTTAGCCTTAATTTAAATATGTAAATGAGATAGTTTGCCAATGGAATGAGTGTTTTTACTCTTAAAATAAGATAATTAGATAATATGCACTCGAAATAAGACAAACTAATTGTGTTTTCTTATTTTAAGTGTATATTGTCTTCTTCCATTGGCAAAATCCAAGAACATATGCACTTATTTTAAGAAAAAATTCAATTTTTTCCAGTGTAACCCACTCCCACAGACTGCCACTCTGGGTCTCTGATCAAGATCTTTAATTCCCGATTGCTCCCTGGCCGCCCCATAATGGCAGCCCACTGCTCCACAAGCGGATGGGTTAAATGCGGAGGTGTTGGGGAATGACCCCTTTATGGACTTTTCTGATGTCTTTCTGTCTCAAACGATATTTCTGACATTTTAAATCAGAAAAAGCTTCCTGGATCGGAAGCAAAACTTTTTCAAACTTGGAAACAAAGTCCAGTGGACTGTTTTTAAACTTTTTTTGAATGTTTTGTTTAATCCAAAGTCCACAAAAAAAAAGGTTGTTCTCATTTATTAAAGTGATTTTGGAATCCAGTAACTATTCAGTCCTGATGCCTAAAACACTATAAATGACAGACTGTGTACTTTCTTCTTATCATGACTGCAATAATGTTGGGCAGAAGAAAATACTTTCAGTTATTGTAACTTAGCTCCGACAATAAAAGCTTTCCCGATAAATAATTCACCAGACATTTGTTAGAAATCTTCAAACAGAGGCAGGAGCAGCCGTTCAGCTTCCAGATGATAGTGCGAGAGGAAAGCAGATTTAAAGTCTCCTGGGATTAGAAATCAGACGCAGAAACTGATGTCTTGGAAGGTTTAACTTTTTCTTGCCGTGCATTGCAGTGATGAAGGTGGAAAAAACACCAACGGGTGAAATTTCCGATTGCTCTGACATGTCATGACAACTGTTGCACCGGGATGGATAATTATTGCAATCATATCCCCAAACTTCTTCCCTAAGTTTTCCTGGTAAATACTCTTGTGTGTTACGCAAATAAATGTCCATTTATCCTATATGCTCCTTTCTGACCTATTAAAGCTGCATCATGTTTGACTCGGTATGGGCACGCAGGGCTGTCTTAATTAATAAGAAGGCATCCACCAAACTAATCTGCCTGTGTTGTGAAGGCTGTCCCTTCCATTAAGTGGGACTCGCATTATCTCCTAATCAAATTAGTCACTTAATTGTGGCCCTCCCTTGATGGATCACACAAAAAAAAGGAATGGTGTGTTTGTTGGGAGGGGGGTGATGTGCTCAAAGCTTAAATATTGAGAATGGCTGCTTCATTATGATGATTTTTTTTTTAATAACCAGAAGCGATTGCTGTCGTCGTCTGGATATGAGCTCTCACAGGATAAGCACCTAGCCTGAGGCGCTACCAAACCGCCCGATGGGGGATTGACCCTCGTCGTTCACTGATCACACTCCTGCTCACTTAATCAATTTCACACATTGCAAACGACACCTGACCTCCATCGATGCGATGGAACCGCTCCTCCTTCCTCTGAGGCACGGCCCATCTTCTGGGAGCCCAAGCGTCCACAATCGGGAGGGGGTCCTGACGAACGGACGCCTGTTTGGTCATTTTTCCCGCTGATTGAGTTTTATCCCCTGCCCTTTCCCAGCCAGACAATAAACAGAACCACATCCAAGCGTGACAGGTTAACCTAACAGTAATTGAATACCCTTAATAGTATGGCCCGAGCCAAAGTCTACGGCGTGCCGGGGACAGCTGGAGCTGGATGATGGCGAGGGCGCTGGGAGAGCAGCAACCAGCTCGCTCTGTCGATGTCAGGCGGGAGCAAGGACAAAGAGGGCAACTTGATGGCTTAATGGGTGGTTTGATGGCTTCATAGGGTGAAATTGAAATTGTCGAGGGCAACCAAACAGATGAAACAGGCCAGACGGAGGGCATTACACAAAGAGAAGAATTAGCTACATATTCTCTAAGCATGACTATCCTGAATATGTGTGTTTCACTGGAATCCTTCAGTGGTTTGAAGCTGGCATCGTCTCTGAGTCTCCTTCACACCAAGAATGATCTTGGATGCGGTGACACTGAATCACCGCATCAACACAATCAAACTGAGCAAACTATCAAAAGAGATTTGGATGATGTTGTTATGACGCTGACGTGAACGTGGCTGTTTTCTGACAGATAATCCTCACAAAGAGGATCCTCCGGGCAACGCGCTGCCAGAGCAGGCAACACTTCCTGCCTGTTTGTTTCCGCAGCACCTCTGCCTGCAGTTTGTCATGTCTGACTGGGGCTTTAATTAGGCCTGCGAATTGAAGCGGCAGCGGCAGGCCTGGGAGCCCTCCGTCCACGGCTCAGCCGTCCTCCACGGCGTCTCCCCCGAGGACCTCTCTGCTCTGTGTGGTTAAGATAATAGAGGCTCGCTCAGAAGATGTTAATTGGGGGGAGATAAACTGCAGTAGTGGCTGCAGGGATGCAGCGTCCGGGGCTGGAGGGAAAAGGGAGGGAGGGTTACCTGATTAGAGGCTTAGGTGTTTGACTTACAGCTCTCTGCTTGATGACGGTAGGAAGAAGAACGTACCGCAGAGGTATGCGCCGAAAAAGGTAGAGGCTGAAATCTACGACTGTTATTAAAGTTTCCCCCTGAAGGTGTTTGTGTTCTGCTCATTTCAAGACCCAATAAGGTCAGGCAATTTGGTATACTCTTTCCTCTTTGCAGCTAGCAATGTTGGCGTCAGCGTCTGGAATAAAAAAAAAGTAGAATTTTATGGAGCCTTTTAGGGATGAAGGGGAGGGAAGTGTCAAAAGTTGCACTGATAGTAGCATGCGTTGGGAGTCCCCAAAGAAAACAAAACAAAAAAAACAAAGAGAAACAGTCGTTAAAACTCAGGAGGCAAGGACAAGAGGTAAAAACCTCAATAATTGCCTGGATGCCAGAGGGATTGCTTTCATTCAATCAGAGCATTCTCTCTCCCCGCACGTCGAAGGTGGAGAAGGAGTTTTTTGGGAAGGTTGGGTTGTGTGGGCGTCCGGGGGATCCGGCGGTGCCCTCCCTCTCTAGGTAACGTACGGCGTTTAGGGCGATAGCTTCCAGCTGAATCTCTGGCATCATGAGCGGCACAGAGTGATAAACTGTGTGTGTGAGGGAGAATAGTGTGAGGCAGCGATAAGGAGGTAGGTGGACAACAGATCCGGCTTTCCATATGCAACTGTGAGTCAAAATGTGTGCTTTTTTTTTATGTTTAGTTTAAATCCTCTTAAATGTCCCACCTTCTTCCTTTTCCATAGCAGCTCCACCAAATGCATCATCTCTGGCCAAACAGTTGCTGGAGGATTCCTTTATTCCTTTTATTTGGGCTTCTGTTGGTGCACGTATTAGATGCTCGGCTCCCTCCTCCTCCCTCTTCTTCTCCTCCTCCTCCTTGTCCTGCTCTTCTCTCCTCCTCCTCCTCTCCGCTCTCGCTTTGCCGCTCTCACAGCCTAGTTTTCTTTTTTTTCCCCCACACTCTTCAATCTTGTGCAGGTTGTATCTGACTGAGGAACCGGTGCCGGGCTCCCATCCTCGCGCTCCTCTAACAACAACAACAACACTGTGAGTATTCTCATGCTAATTCTTCTCCTCCATCCTTCCCTAACATCCGTTTGTCTCTTTCTCCCCCCCGCTCTTTTTTTTTTCCTTCAATTTTTTATATATGTATATATTTTTTTACCTCTTTCATGCTTCCATCCAACGTGCCGAACGCAGCGGCAGCAGTAGCGGCGCGGGAAGGTAGAAGTGTAGACAAAAAAGGGAAACGAGAGGAGAGAGCATGCACAGAAAAGGAGAGAAAGAAGGGGAGGAGGAGGGGGGGTTTGAAAAAGAGATCGTTGCTGCTGTCGCTGCGAGCAACCCCGTTCTGCTTTCGGAGGTGTTTCTCCTGGAGGATGGTGGAATTGCTGGAGGGATGCAGGGGGGCGGGTCTTGGTTTTGTGAGTAGATAGCTGTGCGAGAATGATAGGGGATGTTGTTGACAAGCATAGAGTGGCTCATCACACAGAGCGGGTAGCAGGAACCGGGGGTCACTCTGTGTTGACTAAACTTCTGATTCATCCATCACTTTCCATATTTCATTTCTCCTCTCCTCATTTGGTGGTTTTGGGGACTGACTGAGGACTTTCTGTCATGATGATGATGATGCTGCCGACTCTGAGCGAGGCATCGGCAGTCGCGGATGGGAGATGAATCATAGCCGGTGGCTCCTGAGCATATGTGTGTGTGCCATTCATAGCGTGCGTGCAGAGTTTAAACGGCTCCACTTTTGCAGCTGCACATGCAGGAGTGTGCCGATCACGTGTGCATCTTCAAGATCCAGATGTAAACAATAATTACCGTTAGTGTGTAGATTGGATAGATGCACTAGGTGTGAGTGTGTGAGGTCAGAAAGTCAGTGTCCATTCCTGCTCGCTCCCCTTTGATCAAAGAGCCTCATTTAGTCCGCCCACGGCATGTGTCTGAGCCATATGAGGAGTGGGTGTAGTTTGTGTGTATGTGGAGGTGTGTGTGTGGGGGGGTGAGATGGATAGGCCCTGCTTCCCCGACTGCAACACCATGGCTAATGGGCACTCGGGTCAGCAGGGGTGGAAGCACATCCGGTTGTACGGATGAGTCCCAGCGACCAGAACTGTCTCCGTTTCCTTCGCTGGTTTAAAAAAAAAAAATAATAATTTGAAATCTTTTCAAGAAGAAGAAGCATATTGGGCCAACAAAACGCTCACAAACACACTTTGGCAGATTCATTTGGCAGAGTGAAAAGGATTGATCTGAGCATGGCAATTAGGCAAATTTCAGAACTAAGCATCTGGCGAGGCGAGAACGCTTCGCCTGGCAAAGGATTACCGTTTTTTGGTTCCATTTTCAGCCCAGAATGTGTTATTTCACAGCACTCCAGCAAGCACTGCAGCCCGGGCAAAAAAAAAACACCCTGTCACATTGGAGGAGTGTGTAGGGGGGGAATCTTTTTTTTTCTCTACCCTGCATTTATTTCCACAGCTCAATAACTTAAAGTAGCACTTTGATTAATGTCGATGGGTTCTAATGTGTGTGTTCGGGGGCCCTGGCACCCCCACCTTCCTCCTCCGCGGCCTTTATGACGACGAGTCGTCAGAGTAAAATCGCCCGGGATGATGGCAGCCTGTCGATGAGCTTGCTTTTTTGAAAGCAGGCTGATATAAATGAGAACCATTCCCCCAATTAGGGAAGATTAGGTTACCCTCCACCAATCTGAATCCTTAAATCCCTTCTGTTTTTACAGCTCTGTCTGGCAAATGTAATTCAGCCTTGAGACCTGGGCAGAATAGCAATAAAATAAGGTAGAAAGTTTAGCAGTGAAGCCCAGGCTGTAAAAATATCCACCAGGAGGGAGAGAAGGAGAGGGAGAGAAGGAGAGGGAGAGCCAAAGCACATGATAATTGACACTGCACTGTGTTGCAGTTGGCTGTAATTAACTGTGTAACAGAGGTTGTCAGTTGGAAAGAGAGAAAGGCCCGACTATCTTAGTGCATTTAACACACTTGAAAGTGCAACGTTTATCGTGTCTCTCCAGCTTCCAGCGAAGGGTGCGTTTCAGGTTAGCGTGGGCCCCCTCGCTTGTATTTATCCAGATCTTTTACTACAGGGCCACTCAGGCATTTCCACTGCCTCCTGTTTTTGCAACGCCGATACATGAGGAAGAAGAAAAAAAAATCAGAAACGGGAGCCATTGTTTTCTGGGGCGAGCAGAAAAGGGCTTATCATCTATTTTTAGTTCCCCCCCCCCCACCACTGTCGTTGCCTGGGCCACGATTCATGCTGATGTCTGGAGATTTGGTGCCATAAACTACGTTGCGCTTCGCAGCCAGGCGCTGGCTGGTGACAACTCTCACCCACACATTAGTGATCTATGAGCCATATAGCTGCAGACCCCCTGCTGCCTCGCCAGCCGCTTTCTGAAGCTGCACAGGACCACAGCGGCGACGCGCTCCGTGTGTGATGGCACCCATATGTGCAGAAAGAGCACCTGCATTTAACAAAAAAAAACGTTGCCAACCCTTTTTTTTTTTATTTCTCATCACTTATCACGAGCCGCTACAAGCTGCAGCAAGAAGCTGGGGAGGGGGGGAGTAGGGAGAAAAAAAAAAAAAAAAAAGCTCATAAAGATAAAAATCACATTTCACTAGAGGGTGCTTGTGTGACAGTGATATATGCTGCGAGCATCCTGGCACCTCATTGAGAAGAGAGTGAGTTCTGGGTGGGTAAATCAATTTGTGCAGAGGCCGTCGCCACTAGTATTGGTTTCGTGATATGATCTTTGTTGTCCATTTTTTAGAGGTCGGCGCGAGCGTGGCGACAAGGGCAGCCGATCCCGACCGCTTTCTCTGTCGTTTCTGTGTTGGTAAACGAGACACCCCCCCACACATACACCGTCCCCGGTGGATTGTGGGTAGAGTAAGTCTCAATAACAAGCAAAACAAAAGCCATGCTTCTTTGCTTCTGTATAAAGTTGAGACACTCTGGATAGTCTGTTAAGAAAGTATGTTTATCCAAAGGCGAAAGCGTTAATCACTGGAATTGCTTCTAAAAGCGTTTCTGACTTTTGTACATCCATCAATAGGTGAACTGAACTGTGGAGTAAATTTTTAAATTGTTTGCTGTCATGATAAGAATTATGATGTATCTTCTAAACCAGAGGGGCACTCCCCCTATAGGGCGTCCAGTGCAATTGCATGTGGGCTAATTAGAAAATTATCTTTTTTACAGATTAATTTTTTTAAATGGATGTATTGATAGCAATAATGAACTCTAAACCTGTATAAACCACACTTTTGAGCTTTAAAAATGTTTAATTGGGCGTGAATTATCAAAGTTATTACTACTAGTTTTTTTTTTCTTCCAAAAGATGGAATTTGATTTATTTTAAGAATGGATTTATCACTTTACTTTGATTTTCACTTTATTTGCATAGATATACCTACAGATATATATATATATATACAGAAGAGTATATATTTTATCTCTTTTTATTCCTTATTTTTTATCTTTATTATATTGTATAGTTGGATGCGTGTATATATTGTATAAAACTGTAACTGGAGCGTGTAACAAAAGTCATTTCCCTCTGGGATTATTAAAGTATTTCTGATTCTGAAAAGAGCATTAATACATTTCAAGAAAAAGTATTAAAGGCAGTTGCTGTGTGCAGTTAATTGATAAAAAACACGTTTCTTTATGTAATTGGGGTCCCGAATAAGCGTATTTTAAAAGGGTTGGTTTATTCAGGAGCAGAATAAATATTATAGAATATAGAATAAATAGTTGTGTTTTTAATCACCTTAGTTATCAGGATAGTAGCTCATTAAACCCCGATAAGATTTTAGCTTTAAGTCGCCCATCCGTAGTCCTACCTGCAACATTTCTCTCCATCCGAGGAAGACGTCGGGGTGCCGGACACACAGTTTGACTGACTTGGGATCAGTGGGGAAGCGCTGTGCAAAATCACCACAGCAACGACTGCTTAGCAACAAAAATGTTGACATCATGAAAAGAAGAAGAAACAAAGAAAACAAGAAGAAACCCACCAAGGTGTGGTTAAGTTGAGTTAGCTTGGCTGCGCCAGCTGTTGGAGATGTTCACCACCCCGGGTTTCCTCGATGATGAGGGGGTCAAATCCAACGTGTCATGTCAGGGATGTTAGAGCGGAGGAGGAGGAGGGGGGGAGGCTGACTGAACCGCGGTCTGCTCTGTATTGTCTGTACAAGGGCAGCAAAGTTACTCTTTGTGCACCGCTTCTGGAATGTGTCTTCTAATGCTGTCAGTGTTCCAGCTAATCAGAGCGGCATTGTTGGCCATAATAAGTAAACGGAGTTTAATAGGTGAATGTGTGCCACTTGGCGTCTTATCTCACAGTGACTTTCACTTGCACTGCCTGCAGCGAGTAATCATGAGAAATACGACTCAGAGACGGCGTTTTTAATTAAGGACAGTTTTTAGCAATGGTGGGAAGAAGAGAAAAGGCGGCGGGGGTGAAAAGGCTGTTCCCGCGCCGGCTCGCGCACGGACGCACGCATGCGCGCTGAGGTCCTTTTCTCTGGGCTTCTCATTAATCACAGAAGCATGTCTGATACGGGGCGTGCAGCAGGAGGAAACGGCGCGGGAGAATATTTGAACATCTCTGTGCTGATGTGTGCAAAGCTGTGAGTGTGTGTGTCTGCAGCAGAGGCTTTGAAATCTCATCCTCTCCATCCCTTTTAACTTAGCTAAGGGGGGGGGGTGCATGTGTCTTCGTCCATTTGGCCGGCGGCTGTTAGGAAGCTCCTCGACCGCCACCCCAGCTCGGTATCCGTCCTTCATCCACAGACCTGCTTTGTGTCACATAGTTTAATGTGAAATTGCTTTTCTTTCAAATTTCCCCCTGGAAACACAGGTCGTCGCAAAAATGTTACATCTCATAATGGTGTGTTATTGTTGTCCTTTCATACGAGTCCTTGGCTTCAGAGCAAAGGTGTTTTTTATTTATTTATTTTATTTATTTCATTTTTTCTTTCCTCCAGCCCAGAGCTGAGGTCACACCACTATTTTTCCCCACGCTGCTGTCACAAATCTGGGATTCTGTGCAGAGCTCCTCCTCCGCTGCGCCCCACGGTAACCTCTCTGAAAAATTTATCACCGCCTCAACTCTGCGATTACACCACGCATTAGCCGGGGCTCAAATTTAATTTGTCGGCGGGGCCCCGGCGGCGATGCTACGGGGGCCCGGCCTATCAGAGACACTTTGTAAAGGGCCCCTGGAAGAGCCTCCCGGGGGGGCGATCCTATCAGTCAGACACACTGTCAGCAGACACACTCAGTTAGTCAGCATCGAGTCAGAAACGTGGCCCCGGCCAAACCACACGCCACCGTCGGCTGCTCCGCTGGTCCGCCGCCGTGGGCGCCGAGCTCCCACGCCTGCCAGTCAAAGCTCCAGCGCGGCCGCTGACCTTTGCTCCCCTGCTCAGATGAATGCTCTTCAACAGGTGACACCCTCGCCTTTCCCTTCTTCCGCTCCATCCCTCGTCGGCGGCACCTTCTCTTTATATTATGCTGCTAAAGATGCCTGTTTGCCAGCAGCTCTGCAGGATGCTCTCAAACTATTGAATATTTTTAGATTTTATCCAGCGCGCTGTCAGCCCCTCTGACAGACCCTTCAATAATAATCACCTGTCGTAAAGCAGCTATTACTGTCCTCCGCTGCTGTGATTTACATTAATACCTGGTAGTTAATGTCATGTTTCTTTATTGAGAGAATGTAGGACGTTAAATTCCTCATGCTGCCTCTGCAGTTACACGCCACACCATTATTCTCTCCTTTGTCCTGCTTTATTTATTTTTTATTTTTTTTACTTTCCCATTTTCATCCTCCTTCAGACGACGATCAAAATAGCCTGATCCGAGGCCATTCAAGGCTGCTTTTATCTGCGCTCCCTGAATGAGAAGGTCAATTTTCAAGGCGTTTTGTTGGGAGGGGGGGGTGATGTTAAAACCACCTTGTTGCTAAGAGAACCAAAAGGGCCCCGTGCCTCCCACAGCTCTAATTGGGGTCCATTTTCTTTTTTTTCTTCTTTTTTTTTAATCTTTTAAATGTCAAGAACACAGAACGTGCAAAGTGTTTTGAATTTTTCCACTGGAAGCCATCAATCCTCGGGGTCACGCA